TGATCATTAGTACTTAATTCTATTTGTATACCCCGGGTCTTTTACATTTTACCAAAACTTTATTCTATATTATAGACCTGGGTATAATACATAGGGGGTCTGATGCGTGGGGGTCTTTTATACGGCAGTTTACGGGTAGAATCATCCCACAAAACAGAATGATGCCCAAAAAGTCGAATAAAAATAAATTTAATCTAATAATAGTAAACAGAAAAAGATTAGCATAGTGTTCTTTTTTATTCACTAATTTAAGTAGTTTTACGAGCGGAGAATGGAAAAAGACAGAGAATGGGAATGATGATCAGAAACTTTAAAAGAAAATATTAACCTTCGAATTCTTGGGAAAGTTAAAACAATTAAAAATATTAGAAATTGTGATACCGGATCTACAGTCGACCGCATGGTCGCTCAAGTTTCAACCCCGGATAGATAAGCATTATTATTGTACAAAATCAGGAGCAAAAAGTTATATGAAAATGATGATAAGAGGATCATTATCTTTATGTACATAAGTACGTAAGTACATAACGGGTAAAATTCTCACCCAACACTGCATTTGAGTTAAGATACATAGCACACTGTGGGAGCACAATGTCTAAATCGGAGGTTATAGATCATCTTATCTCTTATCACAATAAACTCATCGTTATGCAAGGTGACGAATATAAGTTAATCTAAGTGGTATGACAATTTATATAGATAATATATAATGATCATATATATTTTATATACATAATATCTTCGTATTTTGATCGTGAGGCTTAAACTAATGTTATAACGAAATTCTGTCGTCATTTATAACGTAAATTGAATGATTCCATTTTATTAAATAAGGGAAAATCTGGTAGTATTTCTGTATTTACGAGATACTAATGGAATTGTCTATGAACAGTCAATAACGCAATGCAGCCATTCTTAAACATTCAAAGTTATCATAAAATTAATTCTCATAAATCTTATCTAAAGTTTGCCTTGTGTTGCGTTGCACTTTTCTGAAAAATTTTCCCGCGCCTTCATTAAGTTAATTCATATATGAATCATAAATTAACAAGTACAGAAATATTGGTATAAATATATCGGCTTCTTTAAGTTACGGCTTTTGTTTCCAAAAATCACTTTCTAAACTTTGAGTAATAAACAAAAAAAAAAACAAATGCTTTCCGAACAAACTTCGCCCGCGATACCTCGTATTCACGCTTTGACTAATCATAAACATATCGTTCCTATGAGAACTCACATGCGCGGTGGTTTTATTTCACGAGCGGAAGCAGGCAAAATTTTAGCTAGATTGTTAAAATATTATGATAATATGCCAAACACCAGTATGTTAAACTGAAATTATAGCTTCTATTTTTCTTTGAACGACAACTGATTACTTATTATTTATTATTTACCAAAGTTGTCCTTTCTATCAATTCTGCGCCTTTACCTCTGGCAAATGAAATCGCTGTAAAATTAAACCTACCATTAGATTTGTTCCTTATTAGGACCCTTAAGGTTGATGGATGGACAGTTGGCGCTGTAACCGACAGAACAGCGGAACCATTATTAAAGGATCAAATTATTAGGTATGAATTATGAAAATATGAACAATTTCATAAATTGAAAATTACTAATAATAATAAATGACGCTAATAGGGGTTGTGATATCCCACAAGGAACACTCGATCAAATAATTAGGCAAGAGGTAATTAATTGTCTTTATACACACATATGTATATATATTTTTTTTTGGATAATAACAATTTTAACCATAAATTTTTTTTTTTTACACGATCGTTGTTTAGCGTTCTCAACTTGACATGCAAAGAGTATTGTTTCAACCACCAAACATTCCGCTCTCAACCTCGGAGGATGCTACGATTTTGCTCGCCACTGATGGCGTTCAAACCGGTCAAAGCGCCAGGGCCGCCATTACTCTATTGAGAAAAATGGGATATAAGGGAAAAATAGTTTTGGTTGCTGGTGTTATTGGATCTGATGCTCAGGTATTAAAAGAAAGCTGGATTTGGTACTAAAAAAAAAAAAAAAAAAAATTCTTATTCTATATTTGTACTTTATAATAGAAAATGTTTAAGAGGGAGGCTGACGATGTTATAGCTGTAAAAGGACCACAAAATGTTGGTACTGTTGGTATGTAAGACGATCGACTTAATCTCCGATCATTAATCTCCGATCATTTCTTTAATTGCAATGACGCTAATACGCACCACTTTTTTTCTTTAAAAAAAAATAATAATAGCCTCATGGTATGCAAATAAAGAGGAACTGGCGAATGAACAGATAAGAAATTTTTTGGATCATAATCGATATAGCAGATAAAATATGAACCGGTTTTGTGATAAAATCAATACGTGTTGAAGCAACGCATCATTTATACTTATAGCAAAAGTAAAATGTAAGGCCTAGTAAAAAAAAAAAAAAAAGGTTTCTGGAAAGTTATTTTTATTTTTTTGTTCTTGTAATGTATATATAACAAATGATTATACTCGTGTTTATTCTGGCGTTGGGATTATTAGTATTTTATTTATTTTAATAATAAATTATTCTTCAAGTTAAAAATTAACGGTAAATAATTATCATGTATTCTAATGACGCTGTATTAGTGTTAGTATTAAATTATATACTATATATATATATCTATATATCTATAAATAAATTACAACCTTGATTATAATAAGAAACAATTTATAATTATAGTCATGTTTATATATGACGTTTCATCCAATTAGCAATGAGGCATCACTAGTTTAAATTTACCGTAAAACATTTAAACGAATAAAATGTTCTGGCGGTGAAACCTGAATCAAGGGGTTAAGGACATGCTAGGTATCAAATGTATTTGATGTACACTCCTGAAATCCTTAGTTCATCCGATTTTGCCTTTCCCATAAGATATATAATATTTAACACGTCCTTAATAACATATTATTCCGCATCGAAAGATATTTGAGTTTCACCCTTTCGTATAATGGCTATTACTAGTAGTATCGATTTGAAATTTGGTCAATAATTTTGGAAATTCTACATTTTCCTCCCTTTCTTTCAAAATTTTTTTGTATTTTAAGGAAATAGTTGGTGGATTTTTGAAAATTCTTCTTGCACTTTTAACTTCTTCCATAAAATCTGACTCATACGTATTATATGAGTCAAGATTTGGTATGATATTTTCTATCGTCCCATGACTCCTAATCATTTCTAATGCTTTTACGGGTCCAATCCCTCGGATTGTTCCGGAAAAATCCGTTCCGCATAAAATGCATAGATCGATAAATTCATCACGTGAAAGATTAAGTAATTCTCGAATTTTGACCGGTGAAACTTCCTGAATCGGATTTTGTTTAGTCAAAAATTGTCTTACAACTGGTCCATCCCCATATAATATGGTATCCGTATCGTCTGACACTGATGCGTCGGCTAAGCCGTGTGTTGTCAATGATGCGCATAATGCCTCTGCTTCGTACCCTTCTGATGTTATGCACGGAATTCCCCACGCTTTTAAAAATTCTTGGCATTCATCATACATCTTCCAAGTAACTTTAATCGTGCGTTTTTCTAAGTTTTTCATTATATCTAATGTTAAATCATTTGATAATTGTCCAGCCAACAAAGACTCGACAAGTTGGTATTCCATCTGCGCTATCCTGCGTTGTACTTTTGTAAAACTTTTATCATTGGCCAATAATGCTGTATTCACCATATCCTTTATTTCCTTCCTTAATTTTATATCATCGGCTAAAGGCTTAAAATTAGGGTACTTTTTTTTGAATGTCTGTTCATCCGTCAAATTTGCAATTTTTTTGACTCTCTCAACTGATAAAGTTTGTATTGTCGTTTTTCTTGCTTGGCTTTTTGTTGCTATTTCTTTTATTAAAAGTAATAAGCGAATCAATTGTGTTTGTTGTTTCTGCATAACTTCCATGTTATGCGATTTAGATTCAATTACTTGCCTGATAAATTTAATTAAATAAAT